ATATAGCTATAGCTTCCATATATATTATTCATTCGATTTGTTATATTTGTGACCCACAGCCGCAATATACACTCCGTAACAACGATATTCAGGGAAATATATCAAATACAGCTCAGAAATATCTTTGCCAAATTTTATCGAGATCGGTTAAGATTTAGATATAGCTCCCATATATATATTTATCCGATTTCAAATTATTGTGCACCAAATGGGCAATACAATTCCGAATTTAAAAGATACAAATGCTTCGGCATATTTAGTCCTTTGAGCTTTAAAATATAAGCAAAAAATGTCGGAAATAACATCAAATTTTAGAATAAATTTAGATTTGTTCGAATTGGTCACATTTGGCACGAATTGTGGCCAATGAAACCGTCACAAGCTGCCCGAATGTTGATATGCGCTATTTTGGCCCATTCCCTGTGCAGCGCTTGCTTAAGGTGATCGACAGTTTGGTATTTTTTAGTGCCAACCTTGCTTTTCCTAAATTCTCCAGACACAATAGTCCAACGGATTAGTATCCGGAGATTTTGGTGGCCATTGTGCGCTGAAAATGAAGCGAGGAACCTCATTTTTTAACCATTCTTGGAAATTCTACTCTGTTGGAATATCCAAGGTCTGCGACCAAAATGTTTGCGTGCCCAAGGCTTTAATACACCCTCCAGAATATTTTCGAATTAATATTTGGGATTTATTCTAATGCCACGGTTGACTAATACTAGCGGAGAGCGACCATCGGCTATTATGGTGGCCCACATCATCACAATGGCCGCCGCTTGAGTTCCGGTGGCCAACCAAAGGTGCTCATTTTCAGCTGACCTCTTTGACAAGTAAACACGATCATTTTGTTTGTTTACAAACTGCTGGACAACGAATGTTTTCTCATCGGAGAAAACCAAATTCGGCAGTTCACCACTTTCGGCCAAGCGAAGCAACTCTTTAGCTCTTTTGAGTCTATTTTCTTTCTGTTGAGGTGTAAGTTCTTGCACTTTTTGGAATTTCAATGGCTTTACCCCGAGCTAATTTTTCAATATTTGCCGAATGGAATATTGCGATATGTTCAGCTCACGAGCCATTTATCGGCCACTTCAACGCGGGTTTCAATCAAGTCGCTTCGTTACTTTTCCAACCATTTCTGCTGATGTTGCTGATTTCTTCCGTCCACATCCGTGACGTCGGGCTACGCTACCAGTATCACGTAACGAGCGATGGTACGACACACATTTAAATGCTGGAGTGCTCTAACGATAGCCATTTGTGGTTTTCCAGCCAAATATAAAGAAATCACACTATCACGCTTGAATTCCATCACGAATAACTTTTTTTCTGAAAAATTCTCACCAAAATGCTTTTGTACGCTTGTAAACAATATAAAGAGCTGTCACTGGAATAATTTTAACAGCTGTCGGATGAGTGGCATAGAAATGACAGCAATCTGAAGTTGGTTGCAGTTTTTTCATCTCACCCTGTATAGCATTTGATACGACCAAAACGCGCCTCATCGAAATAACGACTTTAGACTCTAGGTCACTTCGGACCAAAATCGTTTCAGGGCATTTGGAGTCGATCTAGCGATGTCCGTCTGTCCGTCTGTCTGGCTGGTGCGAACGATAACTCCGATTTGATCCAAACTTGGTACATCGTAATATTATTATTAAACTAAGATCGAGTTCGGAGATGGGCAATATCGGTCCACTCCTTCAGGTACCTCTTCCCCTAAAAGTGAACATTTTAATGGAAAATAATTTACCTCATAGAATGGATCATTCGATTTTGTGCAAACTTTGCAAATCCCAATATTTTTGTCAATTTTAGATCAGGTGCGAAAATGGACAATACCGGTCCACTCCATCGAGTGGAGTTGGCCCCAGGACGAACCCTATTGAAAATGTTGAGAATCAGTTCAAATTTCAGATATAGCTCCCATATATATCTTTAACCGATTTCGGCCAATATCACCAATTGGCCAAATTCAGTCCATATGATTTGAATTTCGGCACATTCGATCTCCTATATATATGTTTCATTCGATTTGGGGTTTTAAGTCCCTCACATGCGTAATATGCACTCCACAACAATACTCGTTGGTACCAGATATCAGATACAGCTCAGAAATAAATGTTTAAAATTATGTCAAGATCGGTTCGGATTTGGATATAGCTCCCATATATATCTTTATCCGATTTTAATGAACTGAACTGAATTTTTGACACCTCCGACGGAATTCAGCCTAAAAGCAAGCTCATCAGATTTTGATGAAACTAGGTGAGCAATACGCACTCCACAACAATGATATTTGATATCGGACATCATATACAGCCCGAAAATATCTCTGCCAAATTTTATCGAGATCAGCTCTGATCGGTTATTGTCCACCATATATGTAATATCAGCCCATAGTGGATAGAATTTTTCATATTCAACCGAATTTTAAAATTTGGTGAAACTGGGTCCGGTATATCTATTGCTCCAATAAATACCTTTAATATAATCCTTATCGAAGTCATATCAGCAATGTTATTTAGATCTTAGTCAAATCAGTCAAATTCCCATTATAAACTGTTTTGTTACGGGAGCTCTACTAAATACCCATAGTGGTTTAGGGTATCATATAGTCGGCCCGCCCGACTTTTGACATTTCCTTACTAGTTTTATCTGTATTAGATGAAGCATAAAAATGGAATACTTCGGCCGACTATATCTGGTGCTCAAGCATATTTTAACATTTTTTTAAAAATTATCACATATCTCATATAAAGAGAAGGAAGTAATCAATAAAGTCCAAACCTGGCATGTCGCAATATTTTTATCATATTTATTTAGGTTCGACATGAAATGGGCAATATTAGCACCAACCTTTGGAACCTACTCCAAAGAGGGTCAACAATTTACATAATCATAACAGAAGTCAAAATATAATTAAACATTGGTTGAGGGTATAAATCTATCAGCAAAACCCACTGATATTTTTTAACTTTTTTTCAATCCTGGCATTTAGGTAAGATTTTGTGAGTTTCTTGAGGGCTAAAAATTCCGACCAAATTATTCCTCATTTGTTTGTTGCTAATGATATTGCCGACGACACTATGTACCTAAAATGCAAGGATTTTTAAGATTCTCCATCCAAATAGTAGAAAGAATGTTGAAAAGGTGACTATGCCTCCTTTATTCAGGTTACATTTCCATGTAGACTTTCAAATCGCGGATAAACGTGTCTTCTATTTTTAGTTCCACTTCAAAATCTACCGGACTTTTGTTGTAATTATTTAAAAAATGAATTTTGCCACTCAACGATATTTTCCAAAATAAAATCAGAAAAAAAAAACAGTAAAGAAAGTCCTAAAGTCGGGCGGGGCCGACTTTATGATACCCTACAGCACTTTGCTAATTTAGTAGAGCTCCACATAACAATTAAAAGTTTTTATGGGAGAATTCAATCATACACGCTATGATTATAATTATACTTTAAAGTTCAAAGGACTAAATATGCCGAAGCATTTGTATCTTTTAAATTCGGACTTGTATTGCCCATTTGGTGCAAAATTAATTTGAAATCAGATAAAGATATATATATGGGAGCTTTATCCAAATCTGAACCGATCTCGATAAAATTTGGCAAAGATATTTCTGAGCTGTATTTGATACATTTCCCTGAATATCGTTGTTACGGAGTGCATGTTACGGCTGTGGGTAACAAAGATGACAAATCGGATGAACAGTATGTATGGGAGCTATAGCTATATCTGAACCGATTTTCACCAAATTTGGTTTGCTACTTTCTAGACTCAATTCGGTCGTATGTGCCAAATTCCATCCCATTTGGGCAAATATTAGACGTTTGGTGCACAATCAAAGTTAAATCGGACGAAGTTATAAATGGGAGCTATATCCAAATCTGAACCGATCTCGATAAAATTTAGCAAATGTATTTCTGAGCTGAATTCGATATATTTCCCCAAATATTGTTGTTACAGAGTACATATTACGGCTGCGGAGGACAAAAATAACAAATCGGATGAACAATATATAGCTATATCTGAACCGATTTCGATCCTTATTTGTATATGCAAAATTCCATACTATTCGGGCTGACATTACACGTTTGGTACACAATAAAAGGCAAATCGGACGAAGATATATATGAGAGTTATATCTAAATTTTGACCGATTATCGCCAATTTCAATAGGGTTCGTCCCTGGGCCAAACAAATGATTTGTGTAAAATTTCATCTGGATAGGACAATAAATGCGAACTGTGCTTTGTTTACAAAAATGCATGGACAGACGGACAGATGGACGGACGGACATGCATAAATCGACTCAGAATGTGATTCAATGCAGATCATCAAAAAGAACTATGGGTCTATCTAGTTTCCTTTTGCCTGTTACAAACAAATGCACAAAGAAGATATAACACCCTGACCACCTTGTGGTGTAGGGTATAAAAAACTGGTGTGCATTACGGGTTTGGATGTCCCATACTTAAAATCCGACCGAAAACAATCCCCTTCTTACAAAATATTAAAACCGCCTAAATCTGTTTTTAAACAAAACTTTGATGAGTACGATTTTTTTGGTTTTGTGTATGACTTTTCCTTTTTAATTTCCTCTTCCCTTGTCACACACTCAAATTTATATATTTTTTGTTATTTCCCCACAAAACTATGAAAAAGGAATGCAAACAAAAATATGCCTAGGATAAGACAGCTCAAAAATGTTGTTTATATCCTATTTTGTTTTACTTATTTCGTGCCTGAGCTCACATTGCTTGCTAAGCTTTCCTGCCTGCCTGCATGTTACACATGAGCGACTTTGTGTCATAAATTATCCTTAGAGTTCTTAAGGGATTATCGTTTCAAGTCCTTTTTGTAATTTCTTATTTTTCTTCTGATTTTTGCAGAGATTTACTTTTGTTGTTATTTTCTAATTTGTTTTTAGCATTTCAATCATTTTTTTAAAGACCACAACTAATAACGAAATGTCGTCCTCTTCATTTTCAGGTGCCTGGCAGGCTGACGTCAGCCGAATTAAGGGCGATGGCACTACGTCAACAACAACAAATCGACTCCCAACATCAACTGTTGGCCACCAAAGAGCAGCGCTTACGCTTTCTAAAACAGCAAGAGGTCCGCAATGCCGTTGCCAATGCGGAGGGCGAACGTTTGAGGCGTTTGCGGGAGCGTGTCGAAGCGCAAGAATCCAAGCTGCGTCGTTTACGAGCACTACGAGGTCAAGTGGACTTACAGAAAACCTATAATGTTACCTTAAGTGAGTTGAAGATTTCCTTTAATTTTTCCTGTTTGGCAAACTTGTTGTTTGAATGAATATTTAACTTTTCACGGATTTAAAAAGAATAAAAAAAATTCGAAAAATGTTGAAAACATTTTGCAAAGAGCAAAACACCAACAAGTATTCACATCAATATACGATTATTTCCTTCCTTGTTATTGTTGTTTTTGATGTTAGAGGCAAAATTTGCATTTAAATGAAATGAAAGAAAAGAGAAGGATAGAAGGAAGAAATAAAAACATGTAACGATAAATCAAGGATATAACCAAGAATTGTCTATGGGGCACAACATCGAAAATATGAAAAAGGAAATTTGTCAGTTTATGGAACTGATCAAAAGCTTTCACAAGGATATTGGGAAAATCTAAAGAAAATATTAAGGAGAATGTTCACACAAAAAAAAGGGAAAACATGGAATGAAATTGTGTTTGTTTTGTCTAGCAATTGTTCTTAGCTTAAATCGATTTAAGGGATATTGTAATGAAGAATGTTATTTATTTAAAACAGTATAAACCAAAGACATCAACAACATTAAAGAAAAAATAAAAAAAAAACAAGTAAGCAAAGGCTATAGTCGTGTGGGGCCGACCATGTGATACCCTACAACACTACAATATGTTAGAAGACCCCTTATGTCCAAATCCATTCTGGAAGATTTCGCTTTTGAAATAATGTCACCAGGGACATTTACCCAATATTTACACACTCCGTCGTGCTATTAGTTGTGTGGTCCATTTTACAGATAAATATAATCCATCAAAATGGTAGAATTCTTCTCTGTCCTTAACTCCCTTCTCAGACGTGTCGATTGGCTTCAATTGTGTGATCAGGAATTTTTTTCTGTTTTTGGTTCATTTGAACCCCTAAATATTTTGCAATCATCTCCAAAAGCAAGAGGCTCCTCTGTATCTCCAATTTAGTCTCATCTATATGATATGATTGTCTACCATATTTGGCTATATTCGTCAACGAAATCAGCATAAAAAAGCCAGAAGTTGGCCTTTTGTGTATTTCGGATATCGCCTGTAAATAATGTTGGTATTTTTTCACACAAAATTAGTGGTCCATTGTACCCGCTGTCATAAATTCTAACTTTATGCGAGATTTCGTGTCCTTTGGTTTCTATTTGCGACCTAATATATTGCGGACATTTTTGAAAACAATAGGCCTACCCCTTCTGAGACCAACCCTACCCTTGTGAAAATTTTCGTGAGGATCGGACGATATTTGCAATACTTATATAATATCCCCAACCTGTGTTGTAAGGTGAAAAAATATTACAAAATATTATAAGTCAAATTGAAAAAATCGCATGCGATAAAAAATATGAAAATATAAAAAAATGTCACAAAATCTATAATAACACCATTATTGGCATATTTTTATGCGATTTTTTTAGATTTTATTCTCTTATGCCAAGAAGGCATTCTGAATTGACAAAATTTGTCAAAATCGGTAAAGCCATTCTTGAGATATATGCATTCTAGCTAACATCCCCTTCCATTGTATATTAACATTGTATATATTTCCCGATATATATATAAGATATATTTACAATCGGCATGTACGTAACGGTCAGAATTGACCTCTTCATCTATTTGTGATTTCGCTGGGATTAAAAATATTCGCGGTTTAATGAAAAAATTGACTTTTATTTAACACAAATGCTATGGTCCATTTCACCCACTAGATATTACCCGATGACCATCAAAATTGGAAGACTGCTGCCCAGCCCTAAGTTCTAGCCCCATACTAACTTCCGCGTCGATTGGTCTATATCTTCGACATGTAGAGCAACTGCAAAATCTGGAAATTTTTCAGTATTTGGTCCATTTCAACCCCTAAATATTATGCGATAATCTCCAAAAGAAATAGGGTTCTATTCTGACCCTAACCCCACCTCCATTTACAATTTCGTAAAGATCGGACAATAATTGCGAAATTTTCTGTTTTTGGTCCATTTCAATCCCTAAATATCGTGCGATCATCTCCAAAAACAATAGGGTTCTATTCCGACCCTAACCCCACCTCCATTTTCAATTTCGTGAGGATCGGTTCATAATTGCGACCTGTAGCTTGATTACAAATTAACATGGACAGACGGACAGACGGACGGACGGACATACATAGCTAGATCGACTCAGCTCGGCGAGATAGGAACATACATATATACTTTCCTATGTGGGAAACCGATATTTCGAGGTGTTACATAATTTTTGGCCCAAACTTATAATACCCCCAACACATAGTGTTGTAGGGTATAAAAAATTTTTTTTTTCAAGAAAATAAATGTTCCCAAACCGAAAAAAATCCTTCCTTGCTTCCCATGGGAATATTATACATATCACTCTTCATACCTCTCTTCATCTTTTAAATGAGGTAGACCTTTTTTTCATGAGAAAATGGTATCTTATCTTGTCAATGAGAGTAAGACCAGCCTTTTCTCGTCTGTAAGAAAAAGAAGACGCTCTTCTTCCCATTCCATCAAGTCCCTATCAAGAAGAAACCCAAATTTTGTCTATAGGAAGAAAAAACTAAAAAAAGACATTACGTTCGGACGCACGAAAATGTGAGATAAAATGGGTTTCATTGCAACTACGAAAGAGCACGAGAGAAAGGAGAAAGAAAACAGAAAGAGTAGACGTTATTCTCCCCTGCGAAATTGGGGAGGGTGCTTTCATACTTTTAATGAAAAGAGAAAAATAAGACCATTTTCTTCTTTCATAGGAAGAAAGATAAAGATAAGAGGATCTCCTTCTATGAGAACAAGAAAATACCATCCATCTCCTCTCTGAGAAGGAATCGTCATTCTTCTCTCCTTCATTTTTTTCTTCTAGAAGAAGAAGAATGACTTCTTCTTTCCTACTAGTAGAAGTCCTTCTTAGCTGATGTCCGTCTTCTCATCTAGAAAACGTCTCTTCTGCGAGAGGAAGTGTGGACTAACATTTTTTTTCTTCTACGAAAAGAGGAAGGCTGGGAACCTGCTTCTCTTCTACGAAAATAGGAAGGCTGGGAACCTGCTTCTCTTCTAAGAAAAAAGGAAGGCTGGGAGACTGCTTCTCTTCTACGAAAAGAGGAAGGCTGGGAGACTGCTTCTCTTCTACGACAAGAGGAAGGCTGGGAACCTGCTTCTCTTCTACGACAAGAGGAAGGCTGAAAGACTGCTTCTCTTCTACGGAAAGAGGAAGGCTGGGAGACTGCTTCTCTTCTACGAAAAGAGAAAGGCTGGGAACCTGCTTCTCTTCTACGAAAAGAGAAAGGAAACCTGCTTCTCTTCTACAAAAAGAGGAAGGCTGGGAGCCCGCTTCTCTTCTACGAAAAGAAGAAGGCTGGGAGTCTGCTTCTCTTCTACCAAAAATGGAAGGGCTTACCTTCATCTCTTCTACAAAACTAGGAGGCGGCTTTTTCTATTCTAAGAAATTAGATAGACGGAAATTCTTCTCTCATGTGAAATGTGAAATGGGCCTTATATTAAACGAAAAGAGGAAGAGGAATTTCTTCTCCTGCGAGAAAGGAAGTCCATCGTATTTTCTTCTACGACAAAAAATAAGAATATTCTCTTATCTTTTTCGGGACTGTGTTCTTCTCTTCTACGAGAAGTTTGCCTTTTTTACTTCTCTTTTACGAGGAAAGGAAACTGCCTTCTTCTCTATTATGAGAAATGAAGACTGTCGTCTTCTCTTTTGCGAGAAAATAAGTCTATCGTTCTCTTATCTACGAAAGAATAAAATTACCCTCTGCTCTTCCACGAAAAAACTCCCTTTTACGAGGAAAGAAACTGTTTTCTTCTCTTTTCCTAAAAAATGACTGTCTTTTCCACTTCTGCGAAAAGAAGACTGCCTTCTTCTTTCTCATCTGATCAGGAAATGGCTTTCGTTATATCACTGACAAGAAGTGAAGGAAAACAAAAACTTCCAATCTCTTAAACAAAACACCTACCCATTTTTGAGAAGGAGAAGAATTAAACTGCGATTCCTCTAATGTAAAGAACGGAAAGTTGTTTTCTTATCTGCTAAGAGAAATAAATTTTCTTTTATTCTCTGCCTAAAATTCCCTCTTTTTCTTGAAAGGTCGTCCTTCTCCACGTGTAAAGGAACCCACTTGGAATCCCATCATTTTGATCTTCTTATGAAATTACACACCGGATTTTCTAAAAAAAAAATGATCTAGAAGAAGTAGTTAGGTTTGAAGAAGAAGGACTTCTGGTTTCAAAAAAAAAAAGGAAATATTTTATATTGAACGGATGTTATTTCAGGATAATACATATTATCCTTTATGTAAAAAAAACAATTATTTTCAAGAACTTCTTCCCTCTTCCTAGTCAATGACTGATTCTAAGCACTCTGGACGTAAATCCTTTTTATCAGAAGTATGCCTTTCTGTCATTAATTTAAAGCTTTTTTAAGAATTAGTATTGGCTTGGTATCCTGTAATATATCAAGCTGCCTTTGGTATTCTGTTACCCTCGTATTTGATGATAATACTTTAGATAAGGGAAAACATATTTTTCTATGTAATTTTCAAAATCCTTTGTTGCTAAGTTAGTTCACCGGTAATTTATGGCATTATAATTAAAAATAATCGCTGGCACTTGAATCACAAGGATATTCCAATTAATGTATTTATTATCAATTTAAATTTGGAAATCCACTTTTCAAAATTTTCCAACCACTCAAAAAAAACAACATTTTCCAGTAAATCAGTCCAAAAACGACGACGAAACGAAATCACACACCAATTTGTGTGCAATGCGTATGTCTGTGTATTTTTGAAAATTGAAATAAACGCTACAGCTTTTAACTCAAGTGACCCTACATTAGTGTATTCTTCAGTTGCTGCTATGGCTGATGCCACGGCAGCTCCGGGTGGTGCTCATAACGGTACTTGACTATTATATTTCATCCAATTTAAACATTGTATAAGGACACTTATGCCATAAATCGACGCCGTGCATTGGATAAACCGTTTTTCCATTGCCT